GCCAAAGCTGATTCAGATGACCATTTCGTTGGAGGAGGATTGTAGGCCGTAGTTTTCCTGCTGCTTCCGCCGCAGACTGCGTCGGATCCCGTCCGCCCTTCTGTAAGGCTCATTTTTCAAATCTGCAAAAACAAGGACAGAAAATCTTCAAAACTGAGACCCGATGTTAATAAAACAGAGGATAACTCTCACAAATCAATGCACAAGGGGTTAGCAGTTCACGCCGCAGGTGTATACACAAAAGTTTTCCGAAAGTCAGATTGGATGACTGATAACCCTGCAACAAGCGAGGCCGGAAATATCTGTCAGCGACCCGCTCTCAGCAAGGGAGGCCAGAAAGATCAGGTGTGCTACACGCAGATCATGGCCTGAACCCATCTGGCATCGAGGTTCGTGAAAATATTCCCGCGCCTGGGTCTGGTCGCTGTCAAAACAAACCCGGCGTGAACTGGTTAATGGCCATGTCCTTGAGCAAGATACTTTGTCACGATTGTTTGCTGACAGCACGACAGCATAGACATACATAAACACTTTTCATATGTGTGTTTTTTTTTTGTCACCACTGTTAGCAAAAAAGAGCATCATGCTATCAAACATGAGTTTTTTAGCATCTTAAAGAAAGGGTTCTGTACCTGAGATGATATTTTCTATGGCTCCGTCCGAAGCTTCTCGTCTCTTGTCTTGATGGTTCCTGTGTTTCTTCTGCAAACTCAAGCACCATGGCGTCCTGCCGATAACAAATATAAAAGAACAATCAAGGATGAGATTTGAAAGCCAGTAATTCAAAGAAACATTTGTGATGAGTAGTTAAACTGACTGCAGGCCATAAATTAGAAGTACGCTCGTAGCTGGGAAATTTTCTTCGTGAATGAGACTGCACCTTTAACTGATGATGAGTACTGTAAGCTAGACTGATTTCAAGACGACTACCAGCTACTTAGGACTACTCAAGAAGCCACACCCATGTTAAAGATGCATTCCCTGTGCTTTTTTCACCTCCAAAATAGATTTGTTTTTATCAATTGCTTTTTCCTAAGAAATATAAAAGTTATTCACTTTTGAATGAGACATCGACCGAAATACATCCACCGATATTGATTGAATTATTTCCCATAAAAAAATGGAATTATTGGCTACCGGACAATAATTCGGCTCTTGCAGGTGATTAATTTGTGCGCAAAATGACCTTCCTTTTTCAGAGGGTTGCCGACACCCAAAAATTGGAATAAAGTGGGGTTTTCTTTGTTAGAACAATACATACAAATGAAAAGTCGTTAGGAGAAAAACATCCATTCTTCAAAGAGCACAAAGCATCCATCTTTAAAGCTATAGTCCATCATTTGCAGCCATCCGAAAAAGTAACTGGCGTATTATTGTTGAAAAACATACTTGGTTGAAAGATAGTAAGTGGACTAAACTCCCTGTGAAATAATCTTTCTGGCAAGCTATCATTTTGAAGTAATCAACGAAAGAAGGCCTTTCCACGGTGCGTCTTAAGACGCACCGTAGGAAAATTTAAATTAGTAGTTCGTTTTGTTATTCGGTGCAGCGCGCGCGCAAGCATTGGCACGACGCACAGGCGCGCGTGGTTGCTATAATTCGTCGGATCAGTGCGCGACATCGCATATAGCTGCAATTCAAAAACAATTCAAAACATGATTCAGCAACTTTTGATTTGAAATTGAGATCCTAGAATGCTGTTTTTCTCGGAATATACAGCTGAAGCTGAGCTGAAACTTCATCAGGTTAGTTGTTCAGTATCCTTCATTAGATTTGAACACTTTGTTGCTTCAAACGAACAAAATGCACAAATTACAAATGATGGACTATATCTTTAAGCAATTTGTGAAATACCTTGGCAATCGAAGTGGCATTGAGCATGTGGTGTATGACCTGTGCACAAATATGGCATACAGCACACTTAAATAATTGTGGCTAAATGGATTTATAACGAGTTAATTTTTATTAATTGGAGGGGGACAGAGCAAACAGCGCCCTCTAGGGTCAGGCTCATACCTGATTGACCTCTTTGATCTTTCTGTTTGCGGGACTTCTTGGCGGCCTCAATGTTTGCGGCCGTCTCCAAAGCAGCCTCCTACATTGTGGAATAAAGAAAATAATTGGCGTAAATAAACATTCTGATCAAATACTTAAAACCTTCAATTTCCCTTTCAGATTTGAACAAAACAAAAAAATCAAAATGGCATTTGTGACCGGCTCCACAAAAAAGGGTATTATATCGCAAAAAGGTGAAATTGAGTTATATACATGTTGGAAAGCCCACAATGTAAGTTTCATTTGGTATATAATAGAGCTCCATAGCCCCTCCCGTTCTGGAGATATGACGTATTTGTATTGATTAAATCCTTGGAGTTCAAATTACACAACTGAGAAAAACAGGCTTTGAAATAGCTGACTTTGTTGTAGAACAACAGAACGACGCACACAAAATGGTTGTTTTCCCACTTTATTCATCAGAATCAGCTTTTCTGTGAATGAAACCTGAAACTGTAGGTATTAAAGATGTCATTCATGACAAAAAATGAAAATCATATTTGACAAAATTTTCACCCTCTCAATATTGAGCGGGTCATTACACACTAATGCTCAGTGCGACTTAAAGGGAAAATACAACATTTGCAAACATCAAAAATAAAACTACCAAATCATTTCGAAATGCCTTGCTGGACTGTTAGTCAATGACAGTGTAAAGCATCCTGTAAAATCATGGCACCTGGTATACTGTCATTTTCAAGAAAAGTGCTATTTTTGTATCAATTTCCAACGCTGGTCGGCCGACCAGCATTGGAAAAACTGGCTTTTTTTTCAAATACTGGCTCCAATTGACCATCGCACTTGTTTGCAATCGTTTACACACCTATGAACGGGTACAAGCCAGCTAGACTGGTTCCCTGACCTTACAATTCCCCAATGTATGTAAAACTGCTCTGTTTCTTCTTATATGGAGTCAGGGAACAGACTACAGGAAAATTATTGTTTTCTTGGTTTTTATAGCATTTTCGAACCAAAACCTCAAAAAAGTCAGTGTAACTATATTTGCTTTATATTTCCAACCCCCCAATTCCATCCATTTCTGAAAATTACAGCAAAAGCAAAATGATGTATATTCCCTTTAATATCCTTTTTGTGGAGCTGGTCACATTTATGTTGTTAAAAACATAAATGTAACTTATGAACAGTTTGTCTCATGTAAAAGTAAGTTACACCAAAGACTGACGAGAAACCACCCCCCCCAAAAAAAAAAATAATGAATTATTAACCATATAATTTCAAGTAAGTATTTCTTGTTTTAAAGTGTGTTTGCCATTTTACCTTTTGCTTTTCGATGCTCATTATCTGCTTCCGCTTTCTGTTATGAAATCACAAAATAAATGACTTTTAAATCTTGCAATGATTTCCAAAAATAAATCTCAATGTAAAATTTGGTCTCGAACTCTCCAACTCTCCACAACCAAATCCTGCATTTTCACCATCCCTGACAATTATGCAATTTTGACGACAGGGAAAATGAAGATTTACCTTGTAAGCGTTGACAAAACGCTGGAAGAGGGAGAAGAACGTGCTGGGCGGGCACATCTTGGGGTTTTCGCCGTAGTAACCGACCGCTTCATTGTAGGCCTCATAGCAACAAGAACATAGCAACCATTCCAAAGAACCAATCAGACACTTCCTTTTTGAAATTTGATTAAAAATTATATTTTATAAATTCCTGCTTTTTTACATTGTTTAAATAATCTTAAGAAATAATTTCAAAATTAGGATCAAGCCTTTTTCTCAAACCTGCTTACGGTTATAAAATATTGCTTAGGAGTTTTTAACCGAAAAAATACTGCTTAGAAGTTCCGGTGTCACATGAAAAATCAGATTTCTATGAAAATCAGACTCCTTCACCCTTTTATTGGTTAAACCCTCTCACATGACCGTTCACTCTCCTAATTATCTCCCTAAGGAATGCACAATACTACCAATGAGTCCGTATTTCATGGAAACCTAAGTTCACGCTACATCGGTACCATGATCTGCATATTATACAATTGGTTCAATGCCACAAATCTGCTGAGTTAGTAAACATTCTTAGCGTATTTACAAATTCAATTTGATAACTTAAGTTTCAGGGTGCTACTCCCAAAAAATAGTACGGAGAGCATATGTTTACCTCTGCTTTCTTCATGTCGCTGTCGACCTTCTTGACTTTGTCTTCGTTTGCCAGGAGGAAATCTCTCAGGATCGAGTTGTCGTGATGCTGGGCAAACTCTCGCTTGCTGAGCTGGATGCCCGACGTCAACTGCCTGATATCTATCACCAGGTTCTCCAACGAAACTACGGAGATTATGAAAAGACTGGAATTTTTAAAAGGTCTGAAAGTAATTTGCAAACTCAAAACGAGTCTTTGAAAGTTGGACAGCTGAATGGGAGCTGAGTGCAGTTAACTCATACCTATCCTAGCGACACAAAGATGGTCGGGCCGACCACTGTTGGAAATTGATGCAACAAATGACAGCACAACAGATGCCATGATTTCACAGGATGCTTGGGACTATTGCTCTCTTACAGTCAAGTAGGGTACTTCATAACAGTTTGGTAGTTTTGTTTTCTGAAGTTTGTAAAGGTTGTATATTACCTTTAAAGGGAATATACAACATTTGCAAACATCGAAAAACAAAACAACCAAATTTTTACCAAATACCTTACTAGGATGGTGGTAAATGACAGTCTAAAGCATCCTGTAAAATTATGGCACCTGGTGTGAAGTCATTTTCAAGAAATGGTATTTTTGTAAAAATTTCCAGCGGTGGTCGGCCGACCACCGTTGGAAAAACCTAACTATTTTTCAACTACCTGCTCCAAATTCACCATTAATTCAGTCCAAATTTTTGTTTGCTATTGTTACATGTTCATGAACGGGTGCAGGCCAGCTAGACTGGTACCCTTACCGTACAATTTTCCGGCATCTGTAAATTGATCCATTTTATATTTGGTGGAGTCAGGGAACCAGACTACTTGAACAGTTTTCTTTTTTGGTTTTTCCAGCATTTTCGAACACAAAACTTCAAACATGTCAGTGTAACAATATTTGATCTATTATACTAAACCCCAAATAATAGTTCATTTCTGAAAATTACAGCAAAAGCCAATGATGTACATTCCCTTTAACAATGAAAAACACAAAAAACAAGCGTTTTTCCTACTGCAGCTGCCTTTTCAACGTACTGTAGATCCAAGCAAAAATCCGACGTACCGGGGAACTTTTGATGAACCGTCCCACGATGTAGTGCAGAAGGGTCATGGACCGGTCAGTGGACTTGGTATCCAGTAACTGAAACAAAAGCCGAGCAATTACAGAAATAAAGATATCAATTATAAAAACAGAAGTCAAAATGTGAGGTAAGATTCCGTGAAATTAAGAAGGGGAAGAAAAAAGAAAGATGAAAAACTGTAGGACATGCTTACAAAGTTCCGTAGACACAACTTTTGCTCCTGTTGACAAAGTCAATTGTGGTAAATATCCTGCTTCTGGACATAAGTTCTAAATAGCTTAGCAAAAGCAGGTAAACGGCAAAAACAACACACAATGTGTAGTGTGTGTGACTGGTACTCCACGATTTTTTACTTATCACAAAATTATGCTAAGTAATATTTTCTGCTTAAAAATTTCTTGATGATTTAATTTTTTTTGTGGTGCTTACCGTGTCCAGACTCTGCAGCTTGAACCCGTAGGCCGCTCCTCGCTTAGCGCTGTTCAAGTAGTTGCCAAACGCTAAGACAATCTCCAAGATCTTCTTGAGCGGGCGGAGGTCTTGATAGTGAGCGAGGCCGACGTTATGGCATTCAGTTGCTGAAGGAAAGGAATCGTTAAAAAGTGAATTGAATAAGAAATTTTTGTGA